GCAGAAGTCTAAGGTCTGACCTCTCTAGTAGAATAAATATCAAATACAATAAATGCATGTTTCCATGCCCCCTGTACATTTGCATTCTAATTCCACTATTAAATAAGGGCCAGGTAGGGGTTTGTTTAGCCAGAGGATATGGGATACCTCTCACTTTGGGTATAATGAGTAGACTCTGCAAGTAGAGACCAGGAGTTATATTTTAGAGGGGACTCAAGGTCTAGCTTGCTATACTCAATTCCAAAATAGATTGCAGGTTCCCAGAGTTCAGATGAATCCGGAGGAAGCACTATTTGTGGTAAGAGCTAAAGAAATGCCACCAAAGAGGTAAAAGATAAGGAAAAGCATATCAGACAACAGTTAATTGATACAGAGAAACTCCTGAGATAAAATGTGTGTATTTGCTGAGGATTTTAAAATGATTCCCAGGCCTTCTAGGTCATTCTGGACAGTTTCTCTGCTTTTCTGGGCTATTTCATTGACAGTAGGAGCTTCCTTTGTATCCTATTTTTGCAAAAGGTGTATCTGCCTGCTATGGTTTGAATGTTTTTGGCTCCTCTACAATTCACACTGAAACAGAATTCCTAATGTAACAGTATTAAGAGGTGCGATCTTCAGGCAGTGATTGATTCAGAGCCTTCATGAAGAGGACCAGATTCCCTTATATAAAAGAGCTTGACAGAGGTAGTTAGCCTTTTTTGCCCTTCCATTCCTTCTGCCATGTGAGGACACAGTATTCTTCCCCTCCGGAGGATCCGGCAACAAGGTCCCATCTCAGAAGCAGAGAACAACCTTTGCCAGACACGAATCCTTCCCACGTCTTGATCTTGGACTTTCCAGCTTCCAAAGCTGTGAGAAATAAATTTTTGTTCTTTATAAATTATCCAGTCTCAGGTATTTTGTTATGGAAGCACAAATGGATTAGAACACCACCGTTAGAAGTATATATACTGCGCACAGAAAACCTTTGAAAAGTTGTACACCAATATTAATAGCAGTTATTTATGAGAATGTGATTTGGGATCTCTTTTCCTTTTTTCTTATTTGTATACACTAATTTTTCCCAAAATAAATAAGTAAGCATGCACAACTTGTATAACTCCTTTATTTCTACGCTGTTGCCCAGGCTGGAGTACAGTGGCGTGATCTTGGCTCATTGCATCTTCTGCCCCCCAAGGCTCAAGCCATCCTCCCACCCCAGACTCCTGAGCAGCTGGGACTACAGGCACATGCCACTACACCTGGCTAATTTTCTTTTTAGTATTTTGTGTTTATAGATCTGGGGTTTTTCCATGTTTCCCAGACGGGTCTTGAACACTGAGGCTCAAGCTAGCTGCCTGTCTCAGCCTCCCAAAGTGCTGGGATTACAGGCATGAGCCACTGAGTCTGGCCAATTTTTAGTTTTATTTTTTAAACAGAAATTAACCTCAAAATTCCATAGACTTGAGTTTGATCCTGAATCAAAAAACCAAAGACCAAATCAATCACAGTTCGCTGAACACCATCTTGTGATGGAGTCGCAATCAGAGTAACTGCATTTTCTCTTCTTCAGTGGGAACTGTGAATACCTAAGACTTAAATGCATGGTGTGATTAGAAAGCCATGCCTCAGTTTTCTTTCTACAAACACTCAAGAACTTATAAATTCAAGCAGTGCTGTCTTTCACAGTCACTCTGCTTGTTTCAGTTTTTTATTTCCTCCATGAAATTGTCTTCAGAGCTGGTTTGGTAATGCCAAAGTAAATCAATTTCATTGTAGTTCATAAGAAACGCTTGCTTAAGCCACAGTCTAGTCCTCTTTTCATGCCCTCTTTCTTAGTGTTCTTTATTTTTACTGCTAATGTGTTTAACTAAGACTTCAAGGACCTATTGTTGAAAACCTGGGGAAAAGAGTGTGGGAAAAGGTTTTGAGGCATAATAAAGCCTGGGGCTTAGGGAGGAGTACAGGGAGGGGGCTGGACAGTTTGAATGTGAGACCCAAAGGTAAGGTGACCATATAATTTATCACCCCATTCTGGTATCCTTTTGAGTGTGAAAGAGTCACTATTAATAATCATGTCCGGTCGACCAGGATGTATGGTCACCCTATGTGTATAGGGAGCAAGTCAGGGAAGGCACTCTAATATCTACCCACTTGCGCTACCTTTAGGGCAAGAGATGCACCAGTATAACTGGCCAAAGGCCATAAATGTGAATTGCCGGAAGTAGAGGACGGCTTCTATTTGAGGTTGGAGCTATCATTACATTTGATCATTGGGACAGATCCATCTTTAATTTAGAGAAATCTTATTCGGTGAAAAACAGTTACATTGAATTTCTTGAAAGTACTTCTAACAGGTTATAAAGGTTTTGTGACTACTTACACATTCAGATATTCCTTGGAAATGAAAAGATTTTCTAGGTATTATAATACACCCACTCACCTACACATTTTCTGTCACCTTCTAAGACTCTACCATAACCCTGGAATTCTCACGTTTCCTTCTCCCTTCAAAAGACTGACGAAAGATTAAACAGCCAACAAAATCCCCGTAATTGCATGATCATTCAGTCTAAGTTGTTCTCCCAGTCACTGCCTTATAGTCTGTTCTTTTGTCTTGTGTTTTCCATCTGTGCAAAGCTGCAATCTCATTGAGTTTTTTGGCTTTCCCACTTAAGTTGTTTATTGTGGCAAATCTCATTCATTCTGGTAGAAATCAGCCTGTAACACAAGGGTCCGCACCCATGTATGTTAAGTACTGCTTTGTTTTTTAAGTCACTGCTCATTGTAATACACAAAGTTAAGAAATGTGTTGTAACTAAAAAAGTTAAGAAATCTACAAATCTTTCTTTCAATAGTTTCAAAGTTAACTCTATTACCCATAATACATACTTCTAAAGGAATGCCAAAAGAGCAGAATGTATACATTTCACAAAAATTTATTTAGTTCCTCTTCTTTGTAGGTGAACTAGGAGAAATCACACAGTTCCTTACCTCAAGGCTCTCACAGCAAACAAATCTAAAAAAATGATTGAACTGTATACTTAATATTTGCGTACTTTATGTAAATTATACCTCAATAAAAATATAAATGAAACCAAATTTGCTATGTACCATGAGCTTTTATAGGTCAAGAAAATTGATCTTTGGATTCTCATAACACATTTTTAAAAACACGTTACTTGTTTTGGATACTTATTTTTCTCTGAGTAAAATGGATTAATTATAAGTAATGACATTGGATCAGTCATGACTCTTTTAAGCATAGGCCTTTAATGTAATCTGCTTCCAAACAATCACAAAAAAAATGTGGATTTTAAGAGTCAAAAAGATGCTCAGAGCCTTCTTCAGGGGCTCTTAACTTTTTCTGCCATATGGATCCTTTGAAACTCTGATAAAAGCAAAGCTATAGACTTCCTCCCTGGAAATATACACAATGCACAAGGATTTTGGGATAAACACAACACTGAAACCCACGTAGGGACCCACTTAGGAACCCAAAGATCTCAAATTAAAATCCACTGAGATAACCCAATCCTTTTCCTCCAGATGAAAATGATAGACCCAGGGAGAGAAAATCGCCTGTTTAGGGGCTGAAGACAGAACCCAGCCTTCTGATACTGTTTACTCCATTGTCTCCTTAGATACCATGAGATCCCCTTGGCCCCAAAAACTCCATCTGTAGATCTTCCACAGTACCTTGTATCCTACCTTTTGTAATTGGACTCACTCCGGAAGCTGGTCAAAGTTTGCCTTTTACTTATTGGAGAATAACCTATACAAAGCTGAGTTTCTTACATTAATTAAATTGGGACATTTTTCCCTTTTTTTTTTCCCTCAAAACCCAGAATGGAAGTGAAAATTAAATTGATCCAGTTTTCTTTTATTTTTAATGAAATCAACTCTAAAATTTGCTTATATTTATACTCTGAAATTTAAAACTTTGTTCTTCCTTGATCTTTATAACATTGGAAAGATTGAACTTACTCTTTGCTCTGTGAATCTTTCAATGGTCTTTGACCACACAATAAATTTCAACCCAACCCAGGAAATTTCTGCAACTTGTGCCCACTCAGCTTTTCTGTTTGGAACAGAATTCTTGCTCCCAATCCAAACGGAGACTGAGAGACATGAAAGAGAACCCAGAAAGCCTTTTCTTCTGTGTGAAAGCCCTGATCCTAAGTGGAGCAATCAATAAAGAAAAGGGCTCGAGCTGCAGCCTACAAATTTTTAAGGGTTTAATGTGTTCAGGATGAGGTGGAGAAATCACACAAACCTGTGAACAGACATGGAGTATATGCATCCTGTTCCTGAAGGTTTTGCTAGGTACTTACTAAGCTATTCTTTCTGCGCAATCATCTTTTGCTTTTCTACTTGCATGGATGAAAGTTTACATTCACTGAACGCTTAGTCATGTGTGCTATTGTTCTAAACACATTACATTATTTAATTTAATCTTCACGACAGTTCTTTAAGGTAGTCTTATTACTATGCTCAGTTTATAGATAAGCAAACAAGTTTTCAGGGGCCAAGAAATTTAACGTAAGGTCACGTAACTTGTAAATTACGAAATTGAGCATCAGATACAAGCATCTGGCTGCATTTCCTGAGTTTTTACGTTCTACTCTAATTAAATAAATAAGTAGAAGTATATAAGACTGGGAAATGAATACTGTTGGTAGATTCCTCAGGCAAAAAATTTTCGATATTGTATTGCTGTCACTGAAACCTCCAGCCTGTCTCATTGATGGACGGTAGGAGGGAAACATGGAGTGGACCTGGAGTTTCTGGCAGGAACGAGGCTGAGTGGAAGACAGGGCAGGGGTGGGGTGGGTTGGAGGCGTGCTTTTCGAAGGGTGTCGGGGGAAACATAAGGAGTGGGTCCTGGGTTTCTCCACTGTCTGCGGCCCCCGCGTGGCTCCCGGAGCTCTCTGGGCCGCGGCGATCTGCTGCTGCTGACCCGGAGATCGCGGCGGCCCGCCCCCAGCGCCGCGCTGTCCAATCAGCGGCGCGGCCTCGTGCCCCGCCACTCCGCGCCGGCCATATAGGCCTCCTCCCGGCTCGCCTCCGCACCGCAGTGGAGGACCGGCCCCTGGCCTGTCTCTGGGCGTTGTGGCCGCTACCGCGGGTTCCGCCTTCCGTCCTCTCCGCCCTCGACGTACACCGCGCCGCCTCTCCGTGGCGGCCCGCGGAGCGTCGCAGCCGGCCCGGGCCCCCGCCCGCCTCCCTCCTAGCGTCCCTCGGTGTCCTTCGCGGGCCGGCGCGATGCGGCTGGGCCAGAGGCCGGCGGCGCTGGGGCTGCTGCTGCTGTGCGCCGCGGCAGCCGGCGCCGGCAAGGCCGAGGAGCTGCACTACCAGCAGGGCGAGCACCGCAGCGACTACGACCGTGAGGCGCTGCTGGGCGTCCAGGTGAGGCGGCCAGACCGGGGCTTGGGGGGCCGAGCCTCGCACCGCAGCCGCCGCCGGCTTTGTCCCGGGACAAAGGGGGGCAGCCGAGAGAGGCCTGGCCGGGGCGGCGCGGCGCTCGCTCTCTGGGGGTCCCGGGGCCTGGAAAGCCTGAGGAGATGGCGGGGCCCAAGAGCTGGATCCCGTCTACCTTCAGGATAGGAGGCAGAATCATGGAGGGTGTGTAGGGGATAGGGGCCTTGAAGTGCAGGTGCGGGTCGCCCCGAAACCCCTTGGCAATGGGGTCTTCTAGTAGCTGTTTTTCTCCACCATTTTGCCCCGCTGATAGTAATGCTTGGCCCTCCTGTGTGTCGCTTCCCCCCAAAGGAAGATGTGGATGAATATGTTAAACTCGGCCACGAAGAGCAGCAAAAAAGACTGCAGGCGATCATAAAGAAAATCGACCTGGACTCAGATGGCTTTCTCACTGAAAGTAAGGACTGTCCCACACAACTAACAATGGAGACAAACACAGACATGTTAAGCAGGGGCGTCTGCTGAATGTAGATTGCTAGTGTCCCAAGTTGAAGTCCTGTGAGAAGGAAAAAAGGACGTGGAGAATAGGTTTCATACCTTCAGATCATTAGACGCTGAGAACCAAGTGAAACTCAGTGCTTTCTCCGGTTATCTATTACCATCACTGACCCTGTACTCTACAGGCAAGTCATACCTTGAGACACCCTCTCACATGACTTTTGTTAGTGTCAACAATACGATTTATTTTAGAGAAATATGCCCCAAAACTAAGGCAGTAAATGATTTATCGCTCTTTTGATATATGCTTCATTTAAATTTTAGGAATTTGCTTCTTTTTGTAAACAAACAGAAAAAGACCTGTTGTGTGTGAATTACGTTTCTTACATTATACCCAAATGTTAGAGCTGGTAGGAGCCTTAGGATCATCTTGTCTACATCTCTTTATAGATGAAGAAATGAAGTTCATAGGGATAAATGCCTTTTACAAATAAGTGGCAAAGCCAGGACTAGAATCCAGGTATCCCGCTTTTAATTCAGGTTTTAATATCCTTCATTTAAAAAAAGAAATCTGAGTGCTCTCAGATAAGTTGTGTAGTCAGAAATGAAATGCACAGACTATTAAAAGAATGTTCTAAATAAATTGCTGTGCACCTGTCTCTCCCCATTGTTCAACTCAAGTGATGTGCCCTGTCAGCATTCCAAGTGGGTCTTCAGAAAAATTCAGGTTATTACTGTGACTCTTTAAGTTAGCTGTTTTTCTGCAACTCTCATTTAAATGCTGTTCACCATCAAGGAATGAAGTTCCCAGAGAAAATTATAAACTGGTAAATTTAAGATGTGCTGTCAATGACATATTCACATTGGAACCCTCTGGAAGATTGGAGGCTTTTTCTTCTACTTAAGTAGACAATAATAACAAAACCTTTGGTCTCTGATTATCCAGGCTGAGAATAAGTCAATCTTTGATTATACTAGAGTAACCAAAGAACACAACATGTTGATTTGGAAGACTGTGTGGCACCTGTCTGTCAAGACCTAAATATGTTCAAATATTTAATAGTAAGGTTTTAAGAAGTTTAAAGTTAGAAAAATTTTAGTCCAAATCTTCATTAGACAGATGAGAAAAAAAGCTTGAGATGGTAAACTACCCCCAATGGCAAAGCTGAAGTGTGAACCCATGTTTCTGATCCCTGTTCCATTCTGTTTTCTACTATGCCGTGCTGCTCTCTTTAAATAAACTAGAAGAAAGACTCATGGTGCTTACAAAAGCCTTCATTCTACTTGAGGACCCTTAAGAGAATTTTGGCAGTTTGCACTCTGAGGGCCAGGTCTGGATTCAGATGTTAAGAGGTAGCAAAACTCAGTAGGAGCTTAGGCTTTGAAGCCAAACAGGTTTGAATCTGGACTCTGCTATTTATTAGTTGTGAAGGCTTGGACTTTTCTGAACCTCAGTTTCCTCAGTTGTATTATAGTGATTATTATAATCACATTGTTTTGAAGATTAGAGGCAACATATATAGAGGGCCCTGATAAATGGTATACTCATGCTGTCCTCATAAATATTCCTGTTTTTCCCTCCCTTTGTTTGCTTTAATGTGGCAGAGTAAATATTTCTATTAATAAGCTTTTTTTTAGATGGAGTCTCACTCTGTTGCCAGGCTGGAGTGCAGTGGTGCAGTCTCGGCTCACTGCAACCTCCGCCTCTCAGGTTCAAGTGATTCTCCTGCCTCAGTCTCCCAAGTAGCTGGGACTACAGGCACGTGTCACCACACCCAGTTCATTTTTGTATTTTTAGTAGAGATGGGGTTTCACCGTGTTTGCCAGGATGGTCTCCATCGCTTGACCTTGTGATCCACCCATCTCGGCCTCCCAAAGTGCTGGGATTACAGGCATGAGCCATGGCACCTGGCCTTTCTTTTTTTTGAGGCCACGTCTTGCTCTTGCCTGACTGGAGTGCAGTGGTGTGATCTTGCACAATGCAACCTCTGCTGCCCAGGTTCAAGTGATAATCTTGTGTCTCAGCCTCCCGAATAGTGGGATTACAGGCACTCGCCACCACACTCGGCTAATCTTCATATTTTTAGTAGAGGCAGGGTTTCACCATGTTGACCAGGCTGGTCTTGAACTCCTGACCTCAGGTGATCTGCCTGCCTCAGCCTCCCAAAGTGCTGGGGTTATAGGCGTGAGCCACTGCGTCCAGCCAAATAGATTTTTTTTAAAGTTGATTCAAAACGGGACATAGAAACTCTTTTCCTATACCTTCAGGTACCAAGTTAAGACAGATAGCTGTTGCATGAAGGGCATAAATTGCTACCCATAACTTCATTAAAATTTCCTCCATATGTTTTACAACATGTTTAAAGGTAATATACTGAAGCAGTATTCTCAGTCACTTGAATACCTTTTCACAATTTAGGCCGTATCTACTTAACCATCTATTATTTTCTTAATGTAGTTTTAATTCAACCCACATAAAATGTATTTTAAAGGAAAGCTTTATATCGCCTTCATAAATAAAAAAAAAACACTTTTTTTCTAATACATTTTAAAATAAATAGTTATCCACATATTTATGCTTCCTGAGAGATCTGTGGTAGTTGGCAAAGGCTTTCTGCAATTTTTTCGATAATATTTTTAAAAAGTAAGGTCTATTTTGGCCAGTTGATAATTCATTCAACAAATACTTACAGAGCCAGGAACTTTCCAGGTATTTGATATACATCAGTGAACAGAACATACCCAAACTTTCATGGAGCTTATATTCTATATAGAATCATATGTCATAGTATAGAAGATCCAGCTGGGTGCAGTGGCTCATACCTGTAATCCCAGCACTTTGGGAGGCTGAGGCAAGTGGATCACAAGGTCAGGAGTTTGAGACCAGCCTGGCCAATATGTGAAACCCTGTTTCTACCAAAAAAAAAAAAAAAAATTACCCTGGCATGTTGGCGTGTGCTTGTAGTCATAGCTACTCAGGAGGCTGAGGTAGGAGAATCGCTTGAAGGCAGAGGTTGAACCCAGGAGGCAGAGGTTGCAGTGAGCCAATATTGCGCCACTGCACTCTGCCTGGGCGACAGAGCCAGACTCGGTCTCCAAAAAAACAAAACTCCATGAGCTCTTCCAAACAGCCTTTCCCACCTCCTACCCTATTTCTATTAATAAAACTAGGCCAATTCTCAGTATTTGCAAACATCAAAGATTTTGCCTTTTCAGAGAAGGTTTAGAAATCCTTACTCTTAAGTATGAGAATTAATTAACGTCACATGCATTGTGTTCTGGGAAATTCTCACAGGTGAACTCAGTTCATGGATTCAGATGTCTTTTAAGCATTATGCTATGCAAGAAGCAAAACAACAGTTTGTTGAATATGATAAAAACAACGATGGTACTGTTACATGGGATGAATACAACATTCAGATGTATGATCGTGTGATTGACTTTGATGAGAACACGGCTCTGGATGATGCGGAAGAGGAGTCCTTTAGGCAGGTGAGTTCATGTGCACAAGCTGTTCCTTTTGATCATATCAGCTTACTTTACCTTCCCACATGAATGAGCACAAGAGGGCCTGAGGTCGTAGACTGGATTGTTTTGTTCTCTAGGAAATCACCTGTTCCACTTCAGCAGTCATTTTGATGGTTTCCTTTCTGGCCAGATTTGGGGCTCTTATTCTAGATTACCTACATGATCCTTGTATCTGTTCTCAGCTCCATCATTTAATTGTCCTCATTTCCAGAGTTCCTTTTTAAATGTGTTTTGAATATGTGTCTCAATATTTTAATATCATTAAACAATCAGTTTTATCTTTATTAAGATGGCTATTATAGCCCATTCCCATTTTAAGCACATAGTTTATATAGTCACTTAAAAAAAAAATCTATGGGTTCCACATCTTTGGATTCAAACAACTGAGGATTTTAATTAAGTATCCAAAAAAGTAAGCCTTCCAAAAAAAAAACTGTGCTTCTACTCAACATATACAGACTTATTTCTCTTGGTTATTCCTTAAACAATATAGTATAACAATGATTTACTCCTCGTTTAAGTTGTAATTTGTATTATAAGTAATCTAGAGATGATTTAAAGCAGAAGTTCCCAGCCTTTTTGGCACCAGGGACCAGTTTCATGGAAGACAATTTTTCCACCAGACAGTGTGTGGCAGAGGGGTTGGGGAATGGTTTTAGGATGAAACTATTCTACCTCAGGTAGTCAGGCATTAGGTTCTTATAAGGAGCATGCAACCTAGATCCCCCACGTGTGCAGTTCACAATCGGGTTTGCGCTCCTATGAAAATCTAATGCCACCCCTGATCTGATAGGAGGCAGAGCAGGGGTTAGATGGTAATGCCACCGCGCACCTCCTGCTGTGTTGCTCAGTTCCTAATAGGCCACAGACCAGTACCCGTCCGTGGCCCAGGGATTGGGAGTCCCTGATTTTAAGTATTCAGGAAGATGTATATAGACTATGTGCAAGTAAGGTACCATTTATATCAGGGACTTGAGCATTCTCAGATTTGATGTTCTAGGGAGGTCTTGGAACCAATTTCTCATGAATGTGTGAGGGAGGAGTGTGTAACAAATTGACCATTGTAACCATTTTAAAGTGTACATGTCAGTAGTGTTCAGTCCATTCACGGTGTTGTGCAACCAATTTCCGCAACTCATTTCATCTTGCAGAGCTGAAGCTCTCTATCCATTCAACAAAACTCCTCATTCCCTCCTCCCAGTAGCTCCTGGCAACCATCATTGTACTTTCTGTCTCTGAATTTGGCAACTTTAGGTACCTCAGCTAAGTAGAATCATACACTATTTGTCTTTTTGAAACTGGCTTATTTTACTTAACATAGTGTCCTCAAGGTTCTTCCATTTTGTAGCATGCATCAGAATTTCCTTCCTTTTTAAGACAAAGTAATATTCTGTTGTATGTACAGGTTAGGTATCCCTAATCCCAAAATCCAAAATCAAAATACTCCTAAATATGAAACTTTTGGAGCATTGACATGACACTCAAAAGAAATGCTCATTGAAGCATCTTGGATTTGGGATTTGCAAATCTCTGAGGGATCTTGCTTTCAATTCTTTTGGGTATTTACCCAGAAGTGACATTGCTGGATCATATGGTAATTCTATTTTTAATTTTTTGAGAAACCACAGTACCATTTTCCATGGTGTATACACCCTTCAAAAGTAACTCTTTTTGTTTTTTTTCTTGAATCGCACTCTGTTGCCCAGGCTGAAGTGCAGTAGTGTGATCTCAGCTCACTGCAACCTCTGCCTCCTGGGCTCAAGCAGTCCTCCCAACACAGCCTCCAAGTAGCTGAGGTTTAAGGCTCAAGCCACCATGCCCATCTAATTTTTGTACTATTTGTATAGATGGGGTTTCACCATCTTGCCCATGCTAGTCTCAAACTCCTGAGGTCAAGCAGTCTACCCACCTCAGCCTCCCAAAGTGCTAGGATTTCAGGTGTGAGCAACTGTAACTGGCCCCAAATTATTGATTTTTTGAAAATTCAGTATCACTATGAGTTCTAATGTGTCTCATGGTTTAATTTGTTGAAATACATCCTTCTTAATTAAACAGAGCTGAAGAAGACTAATTTTACTTAGGAATTAGTAGGAACTTTTCAAGACTTCTAGGAAGTCTGTTAAACTGAAAGTATATCAACAGAAATGACCGTGAGCTTGAGAAATTGCTCTAGCAAATACTTTTGTATTTCAAAGCTAATATGATATTTTATTATACACACTTATGGAGTACATGTGCTATTTTCATATCATACAAGCATATAAGGTATAATGATCAAATCAGAGTAATTAGAGTGCCTGTCACCAAGAACTTTTTTTAAGATAGCTGTTTTTTTTTTTTTGAGATGGAGTTTCACTCTTTTTACCCAGGCTGGAGTGCAATGGCGCGATCTCGGCTCACCGCAACCTCCGCCTCCTGGGTTCAGGCAATTCTCCTGCCTCAGCCTCCTAGATAGCTGGGATTATAGGCACACGCCACCATGCCCAGCTCATTTTTAAAAAAATATTTTTAGTAGAGATGGGGTTTCACCATGTTGACCAGGATGGTCTCGATCTCTTGACCTCATGATCCACCCACCTTGGCCTCCCAAAGTGCTGGAATTACAGGCTTGAGCCACTGCACCCGGCCCAAGATAGCTTTTAATGTGTAGAAAAAAATAAAAATAAACTCAAACATGCTGTTGCAAACCATCCCAAAACATTAGTCAGGGGTACCTCGAAAATATTTGAGGCTCTTCTGTTTTTTAACCTGTTTTGGTATATACCTTTTAATTTTTTTATTGTGGCCATGATTTATATTAAACAATATAGTATGACAATTATTTACTTATTTAAATTGTAATTTGCATTATAAGTAATCTAGAGATAATTTAAAATATTTGGGAAGATATATGTAGGTTATATGCAAATACTGTACTACTTTATATCAGGGAGTTGAGCACCCTTGGGTTTTGGGATCCTAGGGAGGTTGTGGAACCAATATTTCACAAATATGGAGGGATTGAGTATATAACAAGTTTACTTATTGTCACCATTTTAAAGTATACCATTCACTAGTGTTAAGTACATTCACAGTGTAGTGCAACTAATCCCCGGAACTCTTTTTCATCTTGAAAAGCTAAAACTATGTGTTAAACAATAACACCCCATTCCCTTGGTAAATGCTTTCTAAATGTGCTGTTTATTTAGAATCATGTTGGCCCCTTGAACTCTGTAAGCCACCACTAACTCTAAGTTGGTTAATTCTCTGCTAATAACTATACCACCAATGTGGAGGTTTGGGGCTCCATCCTCAGAGCCAGTCTACTTAGCTTCACATTTAACTCCAGCACTTCACAGTTGTGTAACTTTGGGTAAGTTATTAAACTTTCATGTGCTTCAGTTTCCTCATCTCCAAAAATGGGGATAATAATTCCCATTCAGGCCAGGCGTGGTGGCTCATATCTGTAATCTCAGCACCTAAGCCAAGGTGGGAGGATCACTTGAGCCTATGGATACATTTTCCCCTTAAAAATTAAATCCTAACTAAAGCTGTATAGTTAACAAATGCCTAAACAAAATTTAAACATTAGATGGGCATGATGGTGTGTGCCTGTGGTCCCAGCTATTTGGGAGGCTGAGGCAGGAAGATTGCTCCAGCCCAGGCAGTCAAGGCTGCAGTGAGCCATATTTATGTCACTACACTGCAGCCTGGGCAACAGAGAGACCCCATTTCTGAAAAGATAATAAAAAATAAATATTCTCCCTTTAGGATTATAATAATGTGAAGAAATGGTAATAAATGGTGGCAACTGGAGGGGTAAGCAGTTCTGTTTTGATTTAAAAGAATATTGCTGAAGAAAACATTTATATAAATTTATATTTAATCAACTTTAAAAAAATAAGAAGTGTGTATTCCTGTATTCTTAGAAGGGGGTGATATAATAGATGGTGCTGAGAAGAAAATCTTCACTTTGAAGAGATACATGACTCATTAATATAACTTGTTTATGAACAGTTTTTTTAAAAGGTGTCTGGTTCTGTTTCTGTGTTCCCCACCAGCTTCTTAGAACATGTTGATTATAACACTCTACTTTTAAAGGGTGAATTAGATGAATCTTAGCCTAAAGGAATTGATTGATCCCTAAAATGAACACTTCAATGGAAGTCATTTTGGGTTTTTTTTTTTTTTTGACAGCGTAGGAATATGTCTCTATCTTCATGAAGTTCTAATCATATGTTTTTAGAATTTGCTATAACTAACTTCCTGTGTGTATCTATAGTCCCAGCTGCTCAGGAGGCTGAAGCAGGAGGATTGTTTGAGCCCAGGAATTTGAGGCCAGTCTAGACAACATAGTGAAACCTCACCTTTTAAAAATAAATAAATAAATAACCTCCTACAAATTGATGTGGATTGTAAAGATGAACCCAGAAGTCATATGCATTATTCTTCAAAACAAAAAATAAAGGATGAAGAATGAATCAGTCTCAAAGTTATAGACTAAACGCTATACCATAAATAAAACAATCATAGAAAGTAATTGGGGCTGGGCGCAGTGGCTCATACCTGTAATCCCAGCACTTTAGGAGGCTGAGGCAGGCGGATCACCTGAGGTCAGGAGTTGGATACCAGCCTGGCTAACATGGTGAAACCCTGTCTCTACTAAAATTACAAAAAATTAGCCAGGCATGGTGGCACGCGCTTATAATCCCAGCTACTGGGGAGGCTGAGGCAGAAGAATCACTCAAACCCAGGAGGCAGAGGTTGCAGTGAGCAGAGGTCACACTATTGCACTTCAGTTTGGGCAACAAGAGGGAAACTCTGTCTCAAAAAAAAAAAAGAAAAGTAATTGGATATGTGAATAAAATAAATTTTTCTATATGAAAGTCTACTAAAAACAAAGGCCAACTTGATGTCTGAATTTTACCTTTTTTTTTTTTTTGAGATGGAATCTCACTGTGTCACCCAGGCTGGAGTGCAATTCTCCTGCCTGAGCTTCCTGAGTAGCTGGGACTACAGGCTTGTGCCACCACGCCTGGCTAATTTTTGTATTTTTCTTTTAGTAGAGACTGAGTTTCACCATGTTGGCCAGGCTGGGCTCAAACTCCTGATCTCAAGTGATCCACCTGCCTTGGCCTACAAAGTGCTGAGATTACAGGTGTGAACCACCATGCCTGTTCTGAATTTTATCTTATATTTAATAAGTTTTCATATAGAGAATAAAGATAACCCTTTCAGGCTGTGAAATGCCTGAAGAAGCATTTCTTTATAATATAAAGAACAGTTGTAGTCAACACAGGATAATTAAAATTTGGGGACCTATCTGGCAAAAGTTGAAGTGTTCTAACTTCTAAAGTCAGCTACTGAATGTGCATGTATAAGCAGTATTTATTTATGTAAGATATAACCTTGCATGTGAATTTTTAAGACCTAGATGCTTGTTCTAGAATCACACTTTATATATTTCCTCATGTAGAATCATTAGTCTACCAAAAGATGGCAGTTTTGTTCCTCACAAGTTTCTGTTGCAATCTAAAAATAAAAATGATTATGGTAGCTTTTTTATTACTGTACATAACACTTTTTACCCTCTACTAGAATACAAGGTTTTTATATAGAAGAAAAAAGAGAGTGTTGAGGTTTTATGAAACTGACCATCTTTTGTGTGTGTGTGTGTGTGTGTGTGTGTGTGTGTGTTTAGGAATTTGTCACTTTGAAAAAAGTCTTTCTGTTTTTGTCCTCTTCGACTTAATATGAGCTATTCATATTTTGTGTTCTACAAATGGCCATGAAATGTGAACCAGAAAAACCTACCCCCTCCTCTCCCCTCCTGCCTTTTTTTTTTTTTTTTTTTTTTTAAAGAAATCTCTGCTTGTTGAAAGAGATCCTTTCTTTCCATAGGCAAATTTGGCCAAATTTAGCTCTTCTCCTGAAACATGGACCTTTTTGCTCCAAATTGAAGGGTTCTTTCATAAGAAATCTAAGCACTTGGTCGTTTGAATAGTGGTTTATTCAAAAAGAACTTGATTGACTCAACAAAGTACCTCAAATTCTTGTTTGTTTGCTTTTTCCATGTTAAACTTGAACATAACATGCAAATCATTTGGTCTAGTTTTTTAAAATTATGAAACATTAAGTTAAAAGGAGCTATTTGGAAACAGGTTATTATTTTTTCTTTTCTGTCATGATTGGGTGAATATAACTTGGCTTGTAGAGTCTAGATGTTAATGAAACAAATTCTTTGGGGAAAGAGGTGAGCCTTTCCATTGTTAATCAGTAATTGTAAAAGAACTAGTGTTTAGATAAATGACTGCCCCCTGACCTCTGTTCTAGAAAACTGAAAAGAACGTTTTTATTCAGTAGTGAAACACTTAAAAGCTTCTGAAATATTTGAAATTGTGCTTTTGAAAAATGCACAGTTTAATACATATCGGTTTATAGGAAGGAAAACTATTCCCAGAAATTCTCAAAACAGAAATTATGCAGGATTAGCAATGTAGCATTATGGCCCTCCAAGCCTCTTGGTTACAGAATTACCATTGAAAATTTTGTCAAAAGCAGTGTTGTCCCTGATAGGTGCTGAATCATTTAGAAAAAGGAGGCAGAGGGGAAGATGGGAGAGAAAGTAGAAAAGGATCTGTATTTATTTACCCTCACAATGGGATCCATTTAAACTTTTGATGTATTTATATCTGAATATACAGAATTAACACTATCAAGAGCCTACTAAGACTAGACTTCCAGGCTAAGAATGGTGACTCATGCCTATAGTCCCAGCTATTTGGGAGGCTAAAACAGATGGATCGCCTGAGCTCAGGAGTTTGAGACCAGCCTGGACAACATGGTGAAACCCCATCTCTATAAAAAATGCAAAAAATTAGCTGGGTGTGGTGGCACAAGCCTGTGGTCCCCGCTACTTGGGAGGCTGGGATGATAGGATCGCTTGAACCTGGGAGGTGGAGGTTTCAGTGAGCTGAGATCACATCACTGCACTCCAACCTGGATGATGGAGTGAGACCCCATCCCCCACCCCCCCAAAAAAGAAAAGACTTCCACATATTAGGTATATATACTAATATTATGAGATTCTCAACATAAGAGTACCTTTTTTCTGAAACATAATAATGAATTTTTGAGAAGTCACTTAGAGGACCAGAAATAATTTTTAAAAGCCCTGCCAAGATTTAATACATGGTATAAATTTATTGACTTTTGGGCATTCAAACAGTATTGAGATTAATTGTTAAAGTAGATTGTATACTATCATAGAAAGAATAAGGAGGATCCAAGTTCAGTAGTTTTGTTTTTTGAGTCAGAGTCTTGCTGTGGTGCCAAGGCTGGCCTTGAACTTCTGGGCTCAAGCAGTCCTCCCAAGTCACTGGAACTATAGGCATGCACCACTATGCCATGCTGAATATTTTTTAGCTGTATTTCTGGCTTTTATCAAATCATTTAATCTGCTCTTCTATCAATAATAATAGTATATAACACTAAATACTTAAGCTTTATTAATTGTGTAGTAGGGATTCTTTCCCAATTGCTTATTAGAAATTTTTATCCCAGTTTTGCAGATGGGGAAACCAGAGAGGTTAAGCAGTTTGCACTGAGCCACAGCTAGTAAGTGGCACCGCTGGAATTCAGGTCTGAGTCTATATGATTCTAGAGCTTGTGAGTCTATCCTGCCTTTAATATATTCGCCTAGTTTACCCTCAAAGGACAATGTGACGAATAAATGAGATAATGGATGGGAATGTTAAAATATTTTTCAAAGTATTTAAAATGATGTGGTATACTAATGAGACATTGAAAAAAATGTTAATTTTCAAAGCTTCACTTAAAGGATAAGAAGCGATTTGAAAAAGCTAACCAGGATTCAGGTCCCGGTTTGAGTCTTGAAGAATTTATTGCTTTTGAGCATCCTGAAGAAGTTGATTATATGACGGTAAGAACGAAGTTTTTAAAATAATTACTGAGTGACCAAAACTTAAAAAAATATATTTAAAAACTTTTGTGGGTACATAGTAGGTGTATATGTTTATGGGATACATGAGATATTTTGATACTGACATGCAATGTGAAACAATCACATCACAGACAATGAGGTATCCATCCCCTTAAACATTTATCCTTTGTGTTACTAACAATCCAGCTAACACTTTTTTAGTTATTTTTAAATGTATAATTAAGTTATTATAGACTATAGTCATGCTATTTTGCTATCAAATAATAGATCTTATTCATTCTTACTTTTTTTTTTGTATCCATTGACTGACCTCTGTTCCCCCAATACTTCCCAGGCTCTGGTAACCATCCTTCTCTCTGTCCATGAGTTCAATTGTTTTTGATTTTTAGATCCCACAAATGAGTAAGAACATGTGACGTTTGTCTTTCTGTGCCTGACTTATTTCACTTAACATGATCTCCAGTGCTGTCCATGTTCTTGTGTGGATCAACATGTTGTTGCAGGATTTCTTTGTTTTTTATGACTGAATAGTACTCCATTGTGTATATGTACATTTTCTTTATCCATTCATCTGTTGATGGACACTTGGGTTGCTTTCAAATCTTGGCTTTTGTGAACAGTGCTGCAACACACATAGGAGTGCAGATATCTCTTTGCTATACTGATTTCCTTTATTTTGGGTATATACCCAGCTGTAGGATTGCTGGATTGTATGGTAGCTCAATTTTTAGTTTTTTGAGGAACCTCCAAACTGTTCTCTGTAGTGGTTGTACGAGTTTACATTCCCAAGTGACCAAAACTTTAAAACCTGTTAAATTGTTAAAATGAATTATATTAAAAAAAAATTTTTTTTTTTTTTAAATAAAAAGGCCAGGTGCAGTGGCTCACACCTGTAATCCCAGCGCTTTGGGAGGCCAAGACGGGCAGATCACAAGGTCAGGAGATCAAGACCATCCTGGCCAACATGGTGAAACCCTGTCTCTATAAAAATAAATAATAATAATAAAAAAGAAGAATCATACAACTAGAATTTTAAGAGACACACAGATGAAAAATGATCCGAGTTCTCCCCACCTAAAATTAGGAGTAGTAAGGAGGCTTTTGGTGGTGGCAAAGTTGCTTATTGGGAGGGATAAGGTGAAGGACTGAGTTTTTTTTATCTCTGTACTGTATATGAGCAGCAGGCTTCCTCTGGCTCTTTTCTCTCTCATAACTATGTTACCTTCAGTGCCTTCCTTATCGTTTTATAGCTTTCAGACTTTTCTTTGGTTTTTCAATGTTAATAACACTAGGACTTCTGTTTAATTTACATCACTTATGAAAGCTTTTGGTCTGGGATAACGTCATGTTTGGATTCTTCTTCATAGGGTTGGTGGGGGTGCAGCCGCTAATGACTAGTAATGTTTTTTTGCAATTTTAAGCATAATGAGTCCTCTCATCCCTTTAGTATTTAAAAGAAGTACCAGTTTTTCAAAACTTTTGTTGAATTATAAGTTTAACTCAACAAACTTTAATTGAGTCCCTATTATGACTTGTCCAAGCTTGAAAGCATAAACATCACATTGGGGAATAAAGACTAATGTAACAAATAGCTATTTTAAAAAAGAGACTAAACATTTATATTGAAGCCTGTTGTATGACATCGGCCTCCAGCCATGTGGCTTGATTCCCTGGATATTTCAAGGAGGGAAGATACAGCTTTTTGTGTAATGTGTTGTGGTAGACCCTTCTACCTTTAATAACAAGGCTGCAGATACATTTTTCTCTGTAGCTCAGTGGTAAGACACTGCCATTAATACCACTTCTTTTGCCATTGTGAAGCTTTTAATTTCTCATTGGCACAGAAGACATGACCCAGTTTAAGAACAGTGCTGGGTGTAATTTAAGTGCCAAAATTAAGTTGGGACAAGCTAATGGAGCCCAAGAATGACATTCAAAGGATGCTAGATCTTAATTCTCTGGAGAATAAGGAATAATTGAAGGTGAAAGAGGGGAATTACCAATAAAAGCAATGAAATAATTTAGACATTATGTGATATGGTCCGGAGGGCTATCTGGCAATGGAATGAAATAGATTTGGGCAACATTTTGAAGAAAGCATACACAGGAATGTTGACTTACTAAATAAGTGTTAAGGGAAGGTAAGAGTCAGAGATGGGCCAGGCATGGTGACTCAGACCTATAATCCCAGCACTTTGGAAGGCCAAGGCAGGAGGATCGCTTGAGGCCAGGAGTTCAAGCCCATCCTAGACAACACAGCAGACCTTGTGTCTACAAACAAAATTTTTTTTAAGTTAGCCAGTTGTGGTGTCATGCACCTGTGGTCCTTGCTACTTGGGAGACTGAGGTGAGAGGATCGCTTGAGTCCAGTTTGAGCCTATAGTGAGCTATTATTGTGCCACCGTTCTCTAGCCTAGGTGACAGAATGAGATCCTGTCTTTGAAGGAAAAAAGAAAAGGCAGGGCTGGGCGCGGAGGCTCACGCCTACAATCCGAGCACTTTGGGAGGCCAAGACCAGCGGATCATCTGAGGTTAGGAGTTAGAAATGAGATCAGCCTGGCCAACATGGCAAACCCCATCTCTACTAAAAATGTGAAAACTAGCTGGGTGTGGTGGCATGTGCCTGTAGTCCCAGCTTCTTGGGAAGCTGAGGCAGGAGAATTACTTGAACCAGAGAGGCGGAGGTTGCAGCAAGCCAAGGTCACACCATTGCACTCCAGCCTGGGCAACAGATCAATACTCCATCTTAAAAAAAAAAAAAAGAAAAGACATAGGAAGTTATTGAGGAAAGTACTGAAACAGCTGAACATTGAACAGGTCATCTTTAGGGAAGAGGATTGGTTGTTTGATAAGAAGCTTTGATAAGAGGGAGGAACAGATTTAGGGGCGATTTAGGATAGACCGGGCTAGGTTTGGTGAAGGGGAAGCAAGGAAGTTCAGGTTTAATGGGGGGCTGGCACATTTTAGATCTGGAGGCAGAACAGCACTTCTAAGGTAAGGGCTCTTTCAGCGTTGTTCATGGATTGGAGGGCAAATGGAGTTAAATAGAAGGGTAGTACAAGATGTTCTTGAGACGGAGAGATATGCAGAAAATAGCATGAGTTTAATGTTGAGGTGGTTTATAAGAGTGAAAGTGGAGTTCTTCACAATATCAGGAGCTTAAGGATGTTGAATTTAAAGCTACTTAATACTTCAGGTTTTATTCTTGCTTCTAAATTCCAGTGTTTAGAAGGATTGTCTTGAAGGTATGGACAACCAAAATGATTTTTCCTGTAAAGTACCTCACCAGCTGATTATACCACCGAAGCTCCAAAAATTGTTTATTTCTAAAGAAGTTCTGTAGTAGGATTGAATCAGATGGTGGTGGGATTGAACATTTTGTAACTTTTTTTTTTCTTTTTAATGAACATGGAATAGGAATTTGTCATTCAAGAAGCTTTAGAAGAACATGACAAAAATGGTGATGGATTTGTTAGTTTGGAAGAATTTCTTGGTGATTACAGGCGGGATCCAAGTAAGTTACCTGGGAGAATGTGAAAGGAGAAAAGGAATGGAAGAAAGACATTGAAAGACAGCCTTGCTCATTGAAAGCTCTCTTCGAAAGAAAGCTCTTTCAGAGAGCTTTAACAGGAAATTTAACAAGGATCTGTGCCTGATCGTGCTTGTTTCATTAAGTTAACTGTAATACAAGTTCAACAAATGGATTTATAGCTTATCTGAGAACACTGTCTTGCTTACTTTTACTTCTGTGTCTAGATTCAAACATTTTTATTTCTTTTCAAACAAATCTAATGTTAATTCAAATGGGAAAGGAAGTAAGGTAGATATTTTTAAACAAAATCCCGTCCTGTTGCAGGTGGATCTTAAAAGAGATGAAAACATAGAACACTATAAATACTGGCGTAAACACTATTAGGAAGCTTAGTAGAAGGTGAATAAGTGTTTGAAATTAAGAGTTTGCTTTTATATTAGCAGCTGTTTTTTCAGAATTGTTGCTTAAAGGCACCAAACAATGCCATTTTTAAATTGATCACCAGTTGTACTTATTCTGATTGTCACCTTAAAATTACACATGGTATTGCTTTGTGAGAACATGTAAGAAACTTTGTATAGTCACATGATATACAGTAAAACATTACCCAATTCACATTTGGGAAAACTAGATATCAGAACAAATAGCAGCAAATTACAAACAAATGTCGCAAACAAATTACTAGTTCCAATGATTTTAAAACGGGTTATTTAGACTTGTGTCATTTTTGAATATTATATTTGTATATCAGGACTTTTCAGTTAAGTTGCTCTGTTTTATTGGGGTTCCTTTATGTAGTAAACTTTAAATTCACTTCCTTTATTCTAGGGATATACCAAACTTCTTATTGGATACATGTGATATTCTTGTGTGTGTATATTTGTGTTTTTTTATATTAAGCTGCAAATGAAGATCCAGAATGGATACTTGTTGAGAAAGACAGATTCGTGAATGATTATGACAAAGATAACGATGGCAGGCTTGATCCCCAAGAGCTGTTATCTTGGGTAGTACCTAACAATCAGGGCATTGCACAAGAGGAGGTAAGTGTTACAGAACAACTGTTCCTCTCCACCTTCTCCCCCTAAATTTGGTGCTGTTTATAGGGAAAGAAGTTCAAAATCTTAAGCCAAAGAAAGAAGTAATGGGGTTATTTGGGTTTGATGCATTGCTATGTTTTAAATTTATGAACTATTTTAGATTATCAGGGAGACAAGAAAGTTAAGATTATGTCATATATTAATTTGATAGTACAGTGAATAGAATAATAGTTTGTATTTACCTACAGGGACTCAAAGTAGGTTATAATAATTTTGCCTTGCCTTGATACATCCTGGATTGGATTTGAGTAGAGAGAGGCAGAACCCAGTAAAAACGAAGACAAGAGATAATGGGAAAAGCAGCAGACAGACCTGGTTACAATGTGTAACATTTTAAGATACTTAAACAATAATGAGTACTTGTGCACCTGCATGATTTTGACAAGTCAAATCACATTAAACTGAACATCTTGCTGAAAATACTTATTACACTTGACACCTTTTTGTTTTGTTTGAAGGCTCTTCATCTCATTGATGAAATGGATTTGAATGGTGACAAAAAGCTCTCTGAAGAAGAGATTCTGGAAAACCAGGACTTGTTTCTTACCAGTGAAGCCACAGATTATGGCAGACAGCTCCATGATGACTATTTCTATCATGATGAGCTTTAATCTCCAAGTCCATCTCAGTAGAGTACTGGATCCTTTTATAATTTGTTACCAGCTTTACTTTTGTGATAAAATATTGATGTTGTATTTTACACTCTTAAGTCTTACCACAGTCAGAATTACCTTAATGTAGATTATAATTTTGGTCTTTTAGGAAAAAACAAACAACAAAAACCTGATATTTATTTCAAAATCTATTGAAGAAACAAAACATTAATATTGTGCCATATGACAACAAAGTCTTTCCTAAATACTCCATCTGTTTAGTACTGTATTGTGGAATATTTGAGTTCTATTTCCATACTTGAAGAAATGGAGGATTTTAGAGATGCCTGAACAATATTATTTAAGTAGTATGTGATTGAGCTATCAATTTTTGTGTGTGTTCTAAGTAGATTTAATTTGAGAACTGACAGGACAATGTTTGTAGGTTTAGCATTTTGTTTAAAAACCTTTAAAGGAACCTTTAGAAGGACTTAGACCTCACATATTAATGTTGAGAAGTTCTGCTTAATTTTGAAATGGTTTCTATAAAGGGTTTTATTGTATGAAATAGAACTTTATATTTTTGCATATGTATAGATAGTAATTATATTTAATGTATAACTATAGCATTATGGTGAGTGGAATTTGACATTGTCCAAACCTTTTTCATTTTTGAGTGATTAAAAATGAAATGTCCTATCTTTTTATATGTTTGCTTTTCTTTAATTTTTCAGATAACTCTTGAATTTAGCACAGGTTTTGTCATATTGTATGTTATCTTGCCTCATCCATTCCTTTATTTGGGTAGTTCCCAAAACTGTCAAATTATTCTTGCTGCATTTTCTTATTTTTTTTAAATAAAATAATCATAATATAATTGAATGCGCACCTGACACATTTTAATTGGTCTTATAGCAAATGTGGTTTTGCTCTTTGGGGCTAGAAATAATCTTGAGTTATGCAGGTTGGAATTACCAGTAGAGTTGGTCAGATAGCAACAGTAGAGCTCAATATCAATTTTACTGAAATTAAAATCACACTTGATAAGCATGATAATCAATTTTAACCTAATTCAGTAGGCAACTTACTTATTTTTGGTGGAGGTGGGGTAGGGAAAAGTGAAGGAGGAGGAATTAATTTTTTTCTAGTTCTGACCCACAGAGATAGTTTTTCATTCTTTAAATCACTTTTATTTGTGGATGAAGAAGTCAGCTATGCATTCTCTTAATCACTTTCCAGGCTAAAGTTGTCTCTTATATAGCACACATCGCATTCTGGGGGCTCAAGAAATACTTGTGACTGTTTGAGAAGACATTCTTTTCTGATAGAATCGACTGCACCTATATGCCTGTCTACTGCCAAATCTTTGCTGATGTGAGGTGTGCTTGCAAATTGTAAGCTTTCACACCTTAATGAGTGCTTGCTTACTCAGGTGTCTAAAGTACATGACTTTCATTTTAACCTACAATACCTGTCTGGCTATAGCAGTTGAAAAATTACAGATTTACCACTATCGCTCCTTTGTCATTTGTCAGCCTCACTGAAGCTGGCATATTTGAAATCACCTGTTTGACTAGTATGTTAACTATTTGTTTTTCTCTCTAGCTTCTCCTGTATTCTATTTCAATCCTTTGCAGAAGTGCAATTTCTGTATTACTTTCCTTCCTAGTATACAGAAAACTACACTTCCCAGCCCTCTTGTAGGTAGGAGATGGCCAGTTCTGACCAGTTAAACATGGGTGGCGGTAGTGTGTGTCACTGTCAGACTATCTCATGACAAACCCCTTTCCTCTGTCACAGCACTGTGCAGGAGGCCTCAGCCGAAATGGTGGAGCCACAAGATCAAAGTGGCTTTGATCTTGAGTCTGTGGCAGTCAGCTGGCTCCATAGTGGGCTTTGTGTGATCAAAAAATAAGCTTTTATTATGTTAAGCCACTGAGATTTGGTTGTGCTTTTTTGTTTTTAACCACAGCAGAGCCTATCCTGCCGTGACTGAGTGAAGATTTCGCATTTAACAATTGGCTTTTTATAAGCATGCAGAGAAAAAGAATCATCTGCTTCAACAGAGATGCTATATCTACTGCTGAGTCAAAATAGAAAACTTTTTTTTTAAGGCTTTTTTTGGATTTGAATTTTAAATAAGACTGTTTTTTAAAATAAAGCTTTTATTTTGGTTTTAATAGAATTAGAATAATCTGAATTTATTCTTGAGCATCAGAGTAAAAATAGTTTGAGACTCTGAATCATTGGCTGACTCTGCCTGAAGGAAATCACTTCCATTATTTGACTTCAGGTACAACTTCAAAGTGGAAAAGTTGATGGGATATGCACATGTTGGCTCATATGTAGTTCTGATTGTCTAGAAAATGACTGTCTAGATTATGATATAAATTTAAAGGAAGCCAGGACATTCAGAGGAAAAACCAACACACCATGTTTTCTTTACTTAGTTCTTTCCTTTGCAGTTTTAAAAATAGGCTTTTTTAGTGCAGTTTTATGTTCACAGCAAAATTGAGCAAAAAGTAGTACACAGAGTTCCCATATGCCCCCTGCCCCACATACATACACACAGCCTCCCCCACTATCCTACATCCCATACCAGAGTGGTATATTTGTTAAAATCGATGAAACTATATTAACATATCATTATCACCCAAAGGCCACAGTTTACATTAGGGTTCGCTCTTGGTGCTGCACATGCTCTAGGTTTGGACAAACGTATGATTACATATTCCCACCATTGTAGTGCCATAGAGTATTTCCACTGCCCTATAGTCTCTGTTCCACCTTTGACCCTTCCCTTCCTTGTAACCCTTAGCAATACTCCTCTTTTTACTGTTCATAATTTTTTAAATTGTAGTAATAACAAAATTCATCTTAACCATTTTTAATTGTACAGTTCAGTGGAGTGATGTTAAATACATTCATATGTTGTGAAACTGTTACCACTTTCCATCTCCATGAACTTCATTTTTTAAAACTGAAATTTATACCCATTAAACAATAACTCCTTCTTTCCTCTTCCCTTCAGCACTTGGCAAACACCATTCTAGTTTTTTGGGTGTCTGTTTGTTTGAGATGGAGTCTTGCCCTTGTTGCCCAGGCTAGAATGTAATGGCATGATCTCTGCTCACTGCAAAATCTGCCTCCCAGATTCAGGTGATTCTCCTGACTCAGCCTCCCGACTAGCTGGGATTACAGGCATGCACCACCACACCTGGCTAATTTTTTGTAGTTAGTAGAGGTGGGGTTTCACCATGTTGGTCAGGCTCGTCTCAAAATCCTGATGTCTGGTGATCCAACAGCCTCAGCCTCTCCAAGTACTGGGCTTACAGGCATGAGCCACCATGCCCAGCCTCCCATTCTAGTTTTTGTCTCTATTAAACTGGTATAGCATTTGTTTTTTTGTGACTGGCTTCACTTAGCATAATGTCCCCAAGGTTCACCCATATTATTACCAGAATTTCCTCCTTTTTCAGGTGAATAATGTTTTATTGTATGTATATACCACATTTTGCTTATCCTTTCATCCTTTGATGGACAGGTTGCCTCCACTTTTTATTGTGAATAATGCTATGAATATGGGTGTACAAATATTTCTTTGAGACCCTGCTTTTAATTCTTTTGGGTATATATTATACATAGAAGTGGGATTGCTGGATCATATAGTAATTCTATTTTTAGTATTTTGAGGAACTGCCATAGTGTTTTCCACAGCAGCTGTGCCATTTTGCGTTTCTACCAATAGTCCACGAGGGTTCCACTGTCTCCACATTTTTGCCAACACTTGTTACTTTCTGTATATATATATAGTTTTTTTATATATATATAGTAGCCATCCTAATGGGTGAGAAGTGGTATCTCATTGTGGCTTTGATTTGCATTTCCCTAATGGTTCTGTCTCTACAGTTTTGCCTGTTGCAGAATATCATTCCTTTGCAATTTAAATGTGAGGATAAATTTACGCTATTGTTTCTCAGATCTTTGTGTGTTATAATACCTCCTTTTGAGTGAGAAATTTCAGCTCAAAACTTACAAGCTCTTTTCCACCTAGGAAGATGATTTAGGAAAGCCACCTAGAGTAAAAGTTTTTAAACAACCATAACAACTAATTTGCTGCATTTCAACATTGAATTTTTGTCAAATAAATATTTGGCCAGATTTCCTGCCTGCTATAAAATTTTTTACAACTAGTAACCAATGACCTGAGGGCCTCCAGTGCAGCTACTAAAACGTCTCTATTTTATTTGGGGGCAGGGAGGGGGGAATGAATCCAAGCACAAAGAAAAACGAGTACTGCTGAATACCTAGCGTTTGCCCTATCTTTATCTCAAATTAACCAGTTAGTTCCTGAGCTGTAGAAGGGAAACCATTTGAGCTTATAAAACTATTTGAAAGTGATTAAAGGGATTTAAAAAAAAATTCATAGCTTTTAATCATGACTTTTCACACCTTAAAGAAAAAAACTCTACTTTTGCTTTCTGTTCCAGAGATGTTTTTCTTCTGAGAGCAGGTTCCAATGAGCAGAGGCATCATCATTTTGCTCAGTATTGCACCATTAGCAATGATTGGTAACCAAAGTAGAGAGATTGTTCCATTACAAGACACACTAAAAGCATAAACTAAGGTCTTTCTGTGCCAGCTGCTGGCCTGTCTGAATTAATGCTTTGTTGTTCCGTCTACAACAAATGATGTCATGCAAGTGATTTATTTTGTAAGAGTACTCTGTAATGAAAAACTTTATTGAAGTTAATTGTGGACTGCCTTCATGGTGGTAAGGAGGCTAGGCTGAAGCTGAGCTATGACTAAGCTACTTTATAGTAATTTTATCTTGCTGTCATATAGCAATTAGTTTTCAGCCCTTCCACTTTATAATCCCAAATGACTAGGCGAAACTCTCCTAAACTCCCAAACAGCCCACCAAAGCAAAACAACTGTTTCTGGGAGCTTAGAGAAGGAAAGAGGCAAGAATGATGTACTTTGATGCCACCTTCTGCTAGATTTAAAGACATGAGAAACATCTAATTTATAAAATTTCATGTAGGAAAAAGAAAAGGTAAAAAGAAATCAATTGTCCTACATTAAAGTGAAAAAGGTCAGGCACAGTGACTCATGCCTACAATCCTAGCACTTTGGGAGGCTGAGGCGGGAGAATTGCTTGAAGATAGGAGTTCAAGACCATCCTGGCTAACACAGGGAGACCTCATCTCTATAAAAACATTTTAAAAATAGCGGGACCTAGTGGGTGTGTCTGTAGTCCTACCTACTCGGGAGGCTGAATTGGGAGGATTACTTGAGCCCGGGAGGTTGAGACTGTAGTGAGCTGTGATGACACCACTGCACTCCAGCCTGGATAACAGAGTAAGACCCTGTCTCAGAATGAAAAAAAAGGAAAAAAAAGCAAGCTCCTTGAGGGCTGCAACTGTTTCTTTCATCACTGTATCTCCCCTGCCCAGCGTGTGATTAGGACATAGTAGCCACTGAATAAATTTACCAATGGAATGATACAAGATGACAGAGAGCTGATATAGTATCAGTTTATTTCAGTGACTGTATTTTTTAGCGTCTCTTAGTCTGTTCTTTTGATTTTTATATTCGTTATCTCTTTGGATATTTAAATACATTTATTTTAAAATACTTTGGGATTATTCTGTTAATTGTAGTGGAGGTCCCATCTGTTAGTTCACTGACTCCTATGTGGTTTGCACACTTTGATTGACTGCATCTTAATGAGCTGTTTTCATGGGAGTCGGGCATATCCAAGACTGTGGAAGTGTCCTTATGCAGCATGATTTCCAATTTGCCTCTTTATTAAGCCCCATGGGTTTTGTCAGTTCTGGACAGGCTAAGCAGGAGCTGGATTCCCCATGTGAGGAG